ATATAACATTCCAAGTGAGATTTAACCCTTTACAACCTAAGGTCAGTATGCATATTCTCCATACTGCTCTCAGTACATTTTCTAAGGTGCTGACAAGGAGAATCAAGAGCTTCCTTAGTTGGTGATCATTTCTGTTACTCTTGTAACCTTTATGTGTGATTCAAGGATGATATTGTAAGGAGAAATTGGATGATAATCACTCTTAGGGGTTAAAGGGTTAATAAAGCCCGAGGCTTACAACATCAAACATGTAGCCTTCTACCAAGATATTGCTTCTTACCAAATAATGTGAATACATAAGTAAGAAGTATCCTTTGTGACTTGTACAATCCTCCAAGAAGAAAGCTGCTCTCTTAAACTCTTTCAGGTCAAAATATGCCTTCCCCAAGGTATATTTATCAAAATCTTTCAAAAATTCGGGATCTCGATAATCAGTCGCAGGAAGATGTTCAGGTGTTGCAAAGGATGGAATGGAAAATGCCAACTCAGCTGCCCTACGTGCAGAAGAGAAAATTTATATGAGCTGACTGATATAAAAATATTTCATCATTTTTTTTTACTGATTTTTTGACACGCACCTTCATTAGATTTTGTAGCTTACCGATCGATATAAATAGGGAGCCTCACTGCTAAGGTTAGCAGAATTATGTCAAGTTTAAGAAAGAATGTTTAAGTGTTCTTCACATAAGAAATAAGAAAAGTTATCAATAGGTCTATCGGTGGAGACGTAAAAACGCAAGAAAGCAGAACCGCAGGAAAAAAAATCTACGAATGCAATGGAGCAAATAAAATAACTCTGCACATGATCATGATTGCAGAACGTCGAAGGTCCTCTGTGCGGCCAAAATGTTTCATCTTTGTAAATTCAGTAATGCATAAAATCTCTTTAATTATCTGGCTCTTACCACTTAGCACTGTGAAGCAAGCCTCTCTCTGAGCATTCTTTAACCGCGTAAAGAAGATCCCTCTTGATTTCCGGCAAAGAAACATTCGACACAGCCGCCATCTTTCAAAAGCCCGCGCACAACGACGGAGGGGGAATGGTTCGAGGGTTACCAGTGTTTTCTCGGCTTCAGGAAAAGGTACTATCGAGATTAACGACGTTGCAGTGAGTTGTTAGCTTATCTTAGGTTCTCAAAGAGGTTAACCGTTAGCTGTAAAACGGCCAATAAATTTAGTCGTTAGGCGGAAAAGTTGACAAGTTTTAGCCGTAGTCGTAAAAAGAGTTAACCATAAAATGTTTTTCTTCTGATAACAAAGGAAGGAAGTTAACCGTTAGCCGTAAAATAGCAAAGATTTTAACTGTTAGCGGTAAAAGCCATCACCCCATTGAGACCCTCCTATCTCAGTGACAATGAAACACACATTTTTCTTGGCTTTCCTTGCAATACCAGCAACAATATATATATATGTGGAAAATATCCCAAATTGCGATATGGCAGGAGCCCATTACTTCAAGTAATGGGCTCCTGGATATGGTAAAAAGATATTGATAACGATAATAATAATAATGATGATGATGATAATAATAATAATAATAATAATAATAATAATAATAATAATAATATTAGTAATAATAATAATAATAGTTTTAAGGTCTCTTACGCAGTGGACCTTTGTGAATCGTGGTTTCTGTCAGTCTTCATCAGAACAAGATTTAACTTATCTTAGTAACAAAATCCCATGATGTATAAACAAGGACCCATTTTACCAGGACGATCAAGAGAGAATCGACTTCATCTAAACTACACACAAGCAGGAAATAGGCTCCTGATGCAAGGTAAATGCACATGGGTAAAATAGGTATTGCATGGCATTCTTGTGTTTGAGCTTCCATGACTTTTGTTCAGGTAACGCTGTGTTTTTAATTTTTTGGCAGTTATGCTAAGAAGGTAAGCTTGCCAAAAAAATTATCTTTATTTAATCTGATGTTCACCTTGAAATGATTACTTTGCCTTGCAGTAATAACCATTGTTACTAAAAATTGAATTATGCATTATGAATGATAAATAGACGAAGACAATTTGACTCTACATTATCTTTGTTCGTCTCATTCCTAATTTCTCATGGCATGTACGTGTGGGCACATTGGAATTTTCAGACTTTTTATCCAATGATCAATCATCTCTGTACTCGATTAGAGGAGCCATTCAATAAGGTAGTTAATGGACCAATCGTGTCAAAAAAGCAAACAAACAATAAAATGAAACAACATAAAATTAAAGGCAAGACACTGCGCTTTCACACGTTACCAAGAGGGCTGAATAAAAAAAAAGAGTACTTCGCGCGAGGAAGAACAATTACATAAATGAAAAGCGAAAAAACTCAAACACAATTCCGTACATTTCTATCATTAAAAACATTTATTTTAAGCAGCTATAACGAGATTTTGACACTCCTTTGTAATGAATGACACTAGTATCTATTCTTTTATTAGTTGTTATTACTAATACAACAAGGTTTGGCTGTTATAACAAGTTACTTTTTTATAATCCCATGCAACACCTTACAGAAACTTGACAGCGCCTTTTCTTAGTTTCAAACTACAGTTTGTTTCTATCGCACCATCACCCAGATTGGTTTGTTCAGATAACAGTAGCCCGCGATACACTTGGTACCGCGCGCGCGGCGGTCGTCGGAAGTGACGTAGTTGTCTGAGCCGTCGACACTAGTCCACATGTCAATCCACTTGTCGCTGTCCGTAAAATATTCTGAAATCCTGCCCGATCGAAAGTCTAGACGTAATCTGGCAAAACCCACAGCTGGAGTTTTCTTGTGGCGATCTGCAGGGCTGTACTTGAAGAACCCAAAGACGTTCCCTAGCTTCCCGCCGGATCTCCCCATTAATAAATTTTCGAACTCTGTTTTGTCCTTATTTGGAGCGCCTGCCTTCCTGTTGTAAATGACCCTGATGGTATTGACGTCATTAAACCGGAACATGACCTCCTTCCAGTCCCTCATATCAGGGTGGATGTGACTCGCTGCATCTGTGTCTGTGGATTTTGCTGCTGATGCTGAAAATGCTGTCTTTATAGAGATGAAGCTTGGGGAAACCTTGGTGGAAACTAGTGTCCAACCTCCATTCTCAGTCTCCATGTCGCAAAAAGCCTGGAACGAGTCACCTGTCGAGCCTCCGTTTGGATCGATCCAGTAAAGTCCGCTACCACGCCTGTCACCTTAAACAGACCATTAAAATCATTTGAGATCGTCTCCTCATATTTTTTTTTTTAAGCTCAATCATTTTCCAAACCATTTAGAAATCATAATCTCACCTGATTTTAGGATATCCATACAGTGACGACCAGGTCTACTGGCCACGTGACCTTTCCCTCCAGTCACCAATGGCAACCAAGCACTTCCATCGCATAGTTGCAAGGCATTTTGTGAAGCATTGTAACGAACAGTGCCAGCAGTTCGCAGACTACATTTCTCAGCAGTGTCACCAAACTTGATGGCACCTTGAGGTGATTTACCAGCCGGACCGGTTTCGCCTTTTTGACCCTGACAAAAAAAAATGAAAGTGTTTATTTCATGATGAAAAAGAACTTAGTACATCGTAGAGATCGATTTAGAAGATATCTAAGCAATGGCCACAGAACTCTTTTGTTGGTTATGGTGCGACAGTGGGCATAGAATTTTACCTGCAACTGAGTAATGACAATGCTTTTAAATAGCCACGGTTTACCAACCCTTATATCGTTTTTTTCTTTTTCCGGTTTTCAGTTAAGGTTTTTTTTTCTGGAACGCCCAATAACTTCCCTCAATTAGGGGTCTACTTTTTTCGTTTTTTCTCCATATTTTTCCGCTGTTTTGTTGTTTGGCAAATGAGTTCAGTAAGGTTTTTCTGAAAAACTTTATAGACTCGAAGTGAGGTTTCTTAGGAAAATCATCGACTGACCTTTGTTCCATTTATTCCATCTTTCCCATGAAAGCCCTGCTCCCCTTTGACTCCCTAAGTATTGAAAAAGAATATTACATCACAATTAGAGTTGTCGCTGCTTCTGCGCGGAATAAGCTTTATTATTTTGCTTTTTTTGTGGTTTTGAAGTTAAGTTAGTAAGAAATTTAAACACCAACTTTTAAGCCGTTCATTCCGTCGTTTCCCATCGGTCCTCGTTCTCCTTTATCTCCCTGAAAAGAAGAAACTTTTCGTTAAAACTTGTGACTGAGATGATAGTTACTAATTTGATTTAAAAAAATTGTTAGCTTTGGTGATAAAAATTGAGTGAGTCGCGCACCTTGACAGCATTTTTTCCTCTACTTTCTTTACAAAGACCTTGTTCGCCTTTCTCACCATGAAATAAAACTTAAAAAAGTATCTTTTAAATACCCTACATATCCTAGGTGCCGCTTTACTGTCCGCTTTGATCTGCGATATCATTAGTTCACTACTAAGCTCAAATAACGTCTATGTAACTTGTAAGGAGTCTGTCAGTCCCTACGTATAAAATTTAGCTCATCGGTAAATTTGCCCAAAATATACATATGATTCAACTCGAACGCGGTTATTTACTTCAGAACAAACAAAATTCCTTTAGTTTGAAAGCGGTTTGTAATACATCTTTTCTTTCTTCTCTTCCGTTTTCGCTTGTGGCGTTTGTCCTTCATTGCTTTGATCATTTCCTCACACCAACCTTTGTTCCCACTTTCCCGTCGCGTCCATCTCGGCCATCTTTTCCTTCAATCAAAGACAAGAAAATATGTGCTGTGAGGGAATTTCATGAAGCATAAGATATTTTCGAGAGACATTTTAACATTTCAACTATCCTTTCGGAGAACTGTAGTCGTCTGCAAGCGCACTTTGTTCTTAAGTATACGTTGCTGGCAGAACGTTCTCACCCAGTTATGGCTGTTAAAGTGATTTATTGTTTATGACAAAAAAAACCTTTAAAGTGCGACTTAACTATCCAATATTTTTCTCGGTTATTCCATACCGTTTTGACCATCTCTGCCGTCTCTACCTGAAAAAAACAAGGGTGAAAAAGGGTCGTTAATGTTAAAGAAAAATATGAAATATCAAGAAATAGCAAATATGATGATACGTTCATACCGACGAGGCAGGAACAACTGTCCTTCAAAACAGACTTTCCACACACTTAATTTGCTCTGTTCCATTCTTCGAACCCTAAGAAAAAAAAGGGAGATCTATCTCGAACAACGTGGTACGGCTCTAAACTGTGTAGCACACGAGTTTAAGTAATAAACTTGCCGGGTTCAGCATGAATATTTAAGAACATTTATTCATCCACAAAGAGACGATATGTCTTGGTATTTATTGACAAAAAATTCCCACTTACCGATTGGTTCTTTGAGACTACAAGGGTGCCCAGGATAAAAACGAAGCTTAGTGCAAGAAATAATCGGAACATCTTGGCTTCCTCTCCTTTCCCTGAAAGTTTCTTTGGAATAAAAGCAGAGTTTCAAGACGTGAGCATTTTAATATATTTTGAATATTTGCATTTCATCAAAACGAGAAAAAACGGCATGAGAGCGGTTCAGACAATTTGTTATGATCATTTTTTGTTTGTTTGGATTTTTTGCTTTTTCGCCTTTCATACACCAAACCTTTCCTTTTGAATGGCGTATTTGACTGGCGATATCTCCCAAAGCCAATTTCGTTCCGTCAGTGTATTTCACAAAAACACACGATACACATTATTGTTTGTATAAATATATGCAGAGCTCATATCCCCGGTGTCACTCAAAGATTACAATGATTTATGCTATATGGTAGTTTTTTATAAGGATAGCGTGACATACAGGTCACGCTGGTTCATTTAGAATCGATCTGCCGGCATCAGTCTTTTACATTAATGAGTCTTCGTTGCGCGCGAGGGCTCTTAGAGCATAGAAACGCCTCGCACCACTTTTTAAATAGCTGCTTACTGGTGACTTTCGTTCTTGAACTGTTATAATTGGCTCATCTATTCTAATTCAAGGATGGCGTCTTTAGATCACGGTTTATCGTGGAACCCCAACATTTCTGTGATTTCAAGTGAACATAATTCCCACTGAAAAAGGTCAATTTCCTTCTATCGCTGCTCTCTAGAGATTCTCCTCGCAACAGCATTTTTTAGCTTTAGAGCTATCTTTTTCCCCACAGAGTGGTATGTTGCTCGTTCGAGTATGTCTCTTGCATAAATCAGATTGCCGCATTGGTGTATTCTTGCACCAATCAGATTGCCGTGGACGTTCTTGTTTTTATTGTAAGTTGCTCCCAATAAGAACTTGTCGAAGTCTGTTTTGGAGCGCTCGCCTTTCTGTTGTAAATAACCCGGATGGTACTGACGTCACTGAACCGGAACACTACCTCTTCCCAGTCCCCCATCCTCGGGTGGATGTGACTTGCTGCATCGGCGTCCGTAGTTTTTGCTGCTGATGCTGAGAACGTTGTTTTGATGAAGACGAAGCTTGAGAACACTTTAGTGGAAATTAGTGTCCAGCCTCCACCCTCGGTTTCCATGTCGCAAAAAGCCTGGAATGAGTCATCTGTCGAGCCTTCGTTTGGAATCGATCCAATAAAGTCCGTTACCACAACTGTGACCTGAAAGAATAAAAAGTGATTAAACGAGAAATTGATTTCCCTCCGGAATAAATTATATGATGCAACTTGCCTGACTGGTTATTGTTCCAGTAATGAAGATTATATGACAAACGGCACTCGTATATGGGGCGTCTACATGCAATTACAGGCCAGATTGGAAGCTCTTTTTTTCAGCTGCCAGACTGCAAAGGTTTTCCAGCCCGTATCCCTCCCACGAACTGTGGCATGTGTGTGATAATTGGCAGATATCCAAATTAAATCATTACTATATGCTATTGCTTAATTGAAATGCAGACATGTTTTCATGTGAGTGAACCCTTCAGAAAGAAAGCCTAAATATATCCTTGTTACAAGTTGTTGTTGTAAGTTGTGTAGTTTCATTAGAATACATGCGAATTTACTCCCAGACTCGAGAAGGAATTTTAAAACAATTAGCCACACAACCCTTAATTCCACGGAGGACCTGCACATTTAACGAGCTCGTTTGCTGTTCGTTTTTCTTACCGTTTCGGCCATCTCTACCACCCCTGCCTAAGTAATAGGAAGAAGAAATCAGTTTAATCAGTTAACAAAGTTATAGTTACAACATTGCATTTGAATAATGCCTGAAACACAACTGACAGACAAGAAAGGAAAAATTGGTTTATTTTCATTCCTTACCATCCCGACAAATACAATCAGTTAAACACGGTACGTTTTGTGCACGCTCCTCTGCGCACGAGCTCATCAGCTAATTCCCTGTCACAGTGATAACTGATTCCTATCAAGAGCTCATGAAAGGGCGAAAACGATTACAAATGCGACATGGAGCGTTAGGACATACAACAGTACGTAGATAATCGTGACTGTTGACAGATTTTGCACGTGAACACAGTATGACGGACGGTGGCATAATGTGGCCTCATGTATGTTAACGATTAAACACAGTTAGCAAAGTGTCATAAGTTTTGCCTTCTTTGGCTCTTTTACGCTCTGTGGATTTTCTACCAGCATTAAATGGTCTCCTTAGTGAATGTTAGGACAACTATATGGGCGAAAAATCATGTCAGCTCGAGAACATTCAGCAGACGGAACACTAATCAGTGACTAATTTTACTGCCACACGCATCCGACATGTATTTCATCAGTAAACTAGTCAGTGTTCGGTCCTCCTTGAGAAATCTCTCTCATGATGATCAGTAACTTAAGCTAAGCTGAGCTTTGAGTTCATGGTTTCCACACTTCCACCGGCGCAAATTTTTTCAAGGCATGCTCCAGTTTAAGTTAACACAACGGGTCTGGTGTACGTACTTCTGCATGAACGTGACAATAAAAGTAAAAATACAAGGAAACTTGTGTGCCCAGTTTCTGGGTAGGAATTAACTGTGGGCATCACTTCTTACCGCGTGAAATCGATACAGCTTTTACTGATGAAAAGTGGAGGGCGAAATACTCCACACTATCCTAGTTTCTACTGTGTTATTAAACAGAACTCATACCTTAGAATTACGCCTTTCAGAGGGTGACATCGCTGAAATATTCACAAGACAATTAAGCAAAAGAAGTGCAATCACTGAGGTGCTTAGAAATTGCATTGCTGTGGACTCGGTGCAAACTGAGGCTAAATGTATTCTTTTGGCGGTAAGTTTCCCTCCTTTTAGTGGGACGACTTCAATAGTGCCGTTTCGGAAACCTTCCTCTTGCACTAGGCACGATCAGACACGACAGGTCCAAATATGTGTTATTATTGAAGTTAAAATTTGGCACTAAAATATGTGGGGAAAGACAGGTTGAAACAAGCGCGAAAAAAGAAAACGTGGCATAACTTGAAAATATTGAAAAAAAAGATTAAAATTGCACTCTTAGGTTACTTTAAAAGTGGCGAACTCAAGGGAGCTAAGTACTTTCACCTAAATGGTGAAACTTGAAAAAGGTCGGATTGCAAGTTTGTAACCTTTCATGTCAGGATAATAATCCCAAATCTACTCAGTCACTTAAGTTATTATTAAAAACGTTTGAAAATAAATGAATGAGATAGTGTAGAAACAAAGATGTGTGTAAACAGAAACAGACAAGTTTCTCTTAATAACTTTCCTCTCAATATAAATGGGAATGAACTTGACACTGTCTAACTCTGTCATATTTCCTCTAGAATTGCAAGTTTCAAAATCAAGATTAAGAATGTGTGTCTCGTTTATTTATGATAGGACACGGAATATTTCAAACAACCATAAGTTTCATGACGCGATATCACTCGGTCGGGAAAAAGGTGGATCAAAACAGAAACAGAAGTATAACGAATAAGTATTTTCGCTCATTTACAAACAAGAAAAGGGCAACAACATAAAATTGAGATTATCGAAGTGCTGTGCATTTCCACAACTTATCAAGCGGGTTAAAGATACCAAGAATCTTAAAATTAGAAGGCACTTTGAGAGAACAAAAGATATAAGTTAATAGAGAACACAACTAAAAAAACAACCCGTATATCTGCATCTTTAAAAATATTTATTTGAAGCAGTCACACCGAGATTATGGTAATCCTTTATAATGATCAACATTAGTATCAAGTCTTCTGATTAGCTCTTATTACTAAGACAACACAAGTTGGTTAGCTTTCGCAAAACAGCATTTTTTCTTAAAATCCCAACACCTTACAGAAACTTAACAACGCCTTTTCTTTGTTTTCAACAACAGTTTGTTTCTATCGCACCATCACCCAGATTGGTTTGTTCAGATAACAGTAGCCTGCGATACACTTGGTACCACGCGCAAGGCGGTCGTCGGAAGTGACGTAGTTGTTTGAGCCATCAGCATTTTGCCACATGTCAATCCACTTGTCTGAGCCGACATGAGCTTCAGATATTCCGTGTTTTGAATAGAAGTGCAGCCTGGATATTGTGGCAAAACCAGAAGAGGGATTCCTCTTATTGTGATCTGCCGGGCTGTACTTGTAAAACCCGTGGATGTTCTTGATCGTATTGTAAGTTGTCCCCATTAAGAACTTGTCAAAGTCTGTTTTGTCCTTATTTGGAGCGCCCGCCTTCCTGTTGTAAATAACCCGGATGGTATTGACGTCATTGAACCGGAACATAACCTCCTCCCAGCCCCCCATGTTCGGGTGGATGTGACTCGCTGCATCGGCATCTGTGGTTTTTGCCGCTGACAATGAGAATGCTGTTTTGATGATTAGGAAGCTTGGGGACACCTTTGTGGCTACTAGTGTCCAACCTCCACCCTCAGTCTCCATGTCGCAAAAAGCCTGGAACGAGTCACCTGTCGAGCCTCCGTTTGGATCGATCCAGTACAGTCCGCTATCACGACGGCCACCTTAAACAGAGCATTAAGATGATTTGGGATTTTTTTTAGCTCAAGCATTTTTCAAACCTTTAAAAAACAATAATCTCACCTGATTTTAGGATATCCATACAGTGAAGGCCAGGTCTATTGGCCACGTGACCTTTCCCTCCGATCACCAATGGCAACCAAGCACTTCCATCGCAGAGTTGCAAGGCTTTTTGGGAGACATTGTAACGAACCGTGCCAGCAGTTCGCAGAGTACATTTCTCAGCGGTGTCACCAAACTTGACGGCACCTTGAGGTAATTTACCCGCCGGACCGGTTTCGCCTTTTTGACCCTGAAAAAATAGAAATTAAAAGTGTTCATTTCATGATTAAAAATTAAAAACGAAGTACATCTTACAAATCGATGCGGAAGATATTTGAGCAATGGCCAGAGAACTCTGTGGTAGAGTTGCGACAGTAGGTACAGAATTTTACTTTCACCTAAGTCGGTGATAATGCTTTCAAATGGCCACGGTTTACCAGGTGAGGGTTTTTTTTCTGGTTTTGCTTAAACTTCCCTTAACAAGGGGACTGCTTTTTTTCCTTCTTTCTCCTTTTTTTTCTTTTACTGTTTTGTTGTTTGGCAGATAAGTTAAGTTAGATTTTCATAAAAAACCTTAAAAACTCGAAGTGAGGTTTTTTAGGAAAAATTATCGACCGACCTTTGTTCCATTTATTCCATCTTTCCCATGAAAGCCCTGCTCTCCTTTGACTCCCTAAGTATAATATTCAAAAAGAAATATTACATCACAATCATACTTGTTGTTGCTTCCATGAATAAGTTTTATTATTTGCCCTTTTTGTGGTTTTGAAGTTAAGTCGGTAAGAAATTTTAACACCAACTTTTAAGCCGTTCATTCCATCGTTTCCCGTCGGTCCTCGTTCTCCTTTATCTCCCTGAAAAGAAGAAACCTTTCGTTAAAGCTTGTGACTGAGATGATAATGACAAAAAGATTGCGAGCTTTGGGAATAAAAATCAAGTGAGGTCGCCTTTCTCACCCTGAAATAAAATTTAAAAAAAGTATCTTTTAAATACAATAGGTGCTGCTTTAAGAAAGTTTGAAGTTTTAGACGCTTTCACTTACTGTCCTCTTTGATCTGAAGAAAATCATACGACATGAGGACAGAGAATCGTCAAAATATTCAGTGTATTTATTATACTCAGCGATCTTATTACTTCACTACTAAACTCAAATGACGCCGGCCTATTTAACTTGTGAGGAGTCTGTCAGTCTCTACAAATAAAATTTAACTCATCGGTAAATTTGCCCAAAATATACATATGATTCAACTCCAACGCGGTTATTTACTTCAGAATTTTGTTAACAATATTTCCTTAGTTTGAGAGCGGTTTGCGATTTGAAAGAACATCCTCTACATCTTTTTTTTTCTTTTCTTCCGTTTTCGCTTGTGGCGTTTGTCCTTCAATACTTTGTTCATTTCTTCACACCAACCTTTGTTCCTATCTTCCCGTCGCGTCCATCGCGGCCATCTTTTCCTTCAATCAAAGACAAAAAAAATATTTGCTGTGAGGGAATTTCATGAAGCAAAAGATATTTTCGAGAGACATTTTAGTATTTCAAGTATCCTTTCGGAGAAACGTAGTCGTCTACCAGCACACTTTGTTCTTAACTATACATTGCTGGCAGAACACATTCACCCAATTATAGGTGTTAAAGTGATTCAGTGTTTATCACAAAAAAAAACCTTTAACGTGCGACTTAACTATCCAAGACTTTTGTTGGTTATTCCATACCGTTTTGGCCATCTCTGCCGTCTCTGCCTGAAAAAACAAAGGTGATAAAAGGGTCGTTAATGTAAAAGAAAACATAAAATATCAAGAAATTGCAAATTCCATTTGGGAAAAATATCAAACGCAGCAAGTTGTGATACGTTCATACCGTCGCGGCAGGAACAACTGTCCTTCGAAACGGACTTTCCGCACTGACTTTGCTGTGTTCCATTCTTCGAACCCTGAAAAAAAAAAGGGAGATCTAGCTCGAACAACGTGGTACGACTCTAAACTGTGTAGCGTTCAGCATGAATATTTAAGAACGTTTATTCATCCACAAAGAGACGATATGTCTTGGTATTTACTGACAAAAAATTCTCACTTACAAATTGGTTCTTTGAGACTGCAAAGGTACTCAGGATAAAAACGAAGCTTAGTGCAAATAATAATCGGAACATCTTGGCTTCCTCCTCTTTTCCTGAAAGTTTCTTCGGAATAAAAACAGAGTTTCAAGACGTGACCATTTTAATGCAAAGTTAGTTGAATATTTGCATTTCATCAGAACGAGAAAAAAAGGCATGAGAGCGGTTCAGACAATTTGTTATGATCTTTTTTCTTTGTGTGGATTTTTTGCTTTTCGTCTTTCATACACCAAACCTTTCCTTTTGAATGGCGTATTTGACTGGCGATATTTCCCAAAGCCAATTTCGTTCCGTCAGTGTATTTCAAAAAAACACACGTTACACATTATCGTTATGTATAAATATATGCAGAGCTCATATCCCCGGTGTCACTGAAGGAATACAATGATTGATGCTATACGACAGTTTTTGATAAGGATAGCGTGACGTACAGGTCACGCCGGTTCATTTAGAATCGATCTACGGGCATCAGATAACATTCGGATAACAGTAGCCTGCGATACACTTGGTACCACGCGCAAGGCGGTCGTCGGAAGTGACGAAGTTGTTTGAGCTTTGGGTACTATGCCACATGTTAATCCACTTGTCTGTGCCATCATCAACTTCAGATATTCCGTGTTTTGAATAGAAGTGCAGCTTGGATATTGTGGCAAAACCAGAAGAGGGATTCCTGTTATTATTATCTGCCGGGCTGTACTTGTAAAACCCGTGGATGTTCTTGTTTTGATTGTAAGTTGTTCCCGTTAAGAACTTTTCGAAGTCTGTTTTGTCGTTACTTGGAGCGCTCGCCTTTCTGTTGTAAATAATCCGGATGGTACTGACGTCACTGAACCGGAACATGACCTCTTCCCAGTCCCCCATGTTCGGGTGGATGTGACTTGCTGCATCGGCGTCTGTAGTTTTTGCTGCTGACGATGAGAACGTTGTTGTGATGAAGACGAAGCTTGAGGACACTTTGGTGGAAATTAGTGTCCAGCCTCCACCCTCGGTTTCCATATCTCAAAAAGCCTGGAATGAGTCACCTGTCGAGCCTCCGTTTGGATCGATCCAATAAAGTCCGTTACCACGACCGTGACCTGAAAGAATGAAAAGTGATTAAACGAGTAATCGATTTCCCTCCGGAAATAAATTAAACGATGCAACTTGCCTGACTGGTTATTGTTCCAGTACTGAAGATTAGATGACAAACAGCACTTGTATATGGGGCGTATACATGTAATTACAGGCCAGATTGGAAGCTCTTTTTTTCAGCTGCCAGACTGCCAAGGTTTTCCAGCCCGTATCCCTCCCACGAACTGTGGCATGTGTGTGATAACTGACAGATATCCAAATCAGATATAGTAAATCATTACTTTATGCTATTGCTTAATTGAAGTGCAGAAATGTTTTCATGTGAGTGAATCCTTGAGAAAGAAAGCCTAAATAAATCTGCTAAACCTTACAGTTTAAATTAAACTCTTCTTGAGTCAAGGATTACGCCTCAAGTCTGCCCCGACCTTTGCTGGAAATGAATTAGGATTTCTAGATTTCACGTAAGTTGATTTTGTCGCTCACAAATAATCGGCCACGAGAGTTCCCAGAAACCTATTGGTTTCATCTTGTATTTCCAGAAAACAGAGCGTACATAGACGGTTTATTTATTTTAAGCGGGCAGGAAGCATAAATCAGTTTAAAACCTAGACTTAACTATTAATGTATCACAATGAAGGGAAAAATTCGTAGTTCTCTATTTTCTCTTTACAAGGACGCTTTATCTCAAACTCACCTGACTTCAAAATATCTAGACAATGACG